CATTTATAAAATCATTTAGATTCTGATATGTTTATCATCCTCTGCGAGAGGGAAAGAGAATGTGAGAGAGAGAAAGAGAGGGTGTGTGAGAGAGGGTGTGTGAGGGTGTGTGTGTGTGTGTGTGAGAAAGAGAGATTGTTGATGTGTGTCAGGGTGTGTATGTCTGTGATTATAAGGATGCGTTGGTGGATGGAAAGGTGTGGGTGATAGTACAGGCGGTATTGGCGGCAGTGCTAATATACAACTACCCCAACACATATTTATCGTCTATCGACAAGTCATTGTACGCACGAGCTTGCAAGTGCATTTGCACAGCCAATGAGTATCAATATTCAACAATTTAGCCCCTAAAGTTCAACATGGCATGTCAAACGATTCAACATTCGATCTTTACCATTTGTTTTAAATAGTTTTTATTCATTTTCTTTAAATTTCAAATTTCTTTAAATATTTTTGGGATTATACTTTTTTTTATTCATTTTATTCTATAATTTGACATCTGGATTGTATACCATGTACATGTATTTGTATTCCATATTTTCCAACTGTATTGTAGACACATTTATACGAGGGCATGCGCGGATCTAGAGGGGGGGGGTCGGGGGGGGGGGTCAGCCCCCCCTGGAATTTACCAGGTTAAAAAATGTATATACTAAAACAAGAAAACAGTTACCATGGACCCACTTGAAAAACACTGACCCCCTGGTAAACGCGAATATGTGTGAAATGGGTATGAAAAGTGACAGATTTGAGGAAAAGAAGTCTCCAGTAACGACCCCCCCCCCCCCCCCCACGAAATAGGTTTTTGACGTTTGGGCGAGTTTACGTTTTTTTTTTTTGTTTTTTTTTTGCTTGTCAAGAAATTTCTGGGATTTGATTTTTTTTTACTGGGGTGGACCTCCCCCCCCCCACCCCATCCTCTGGAAAAAATTTCTGGATCCACGCCTGGAGGGTTGTTCGAAAAGTTCGTGGACAAATGTCATCTTTTTCAAAATTTTTTCCAACTTTGGTAGAAATATTTTTACAGTAAATCCAGATGATTTGTATTAATTTTTTCAAAATATTAGGATATATTCAAAACTGAACCAGATTTTTAAAATCAAAAATCGGATCGTGGAGCAGGTCAAACTTTAGTAAGTTAGACAAAACACTACAGAATGTCTGTGGTCATATTCTCTGTAAAATGGAGTAAAATGAAAAACAACCAAGAAGTTCAAATTACGAATTGTTACATCAATTCGTATACCAAATTATGGCTTTATGTTTTGATTTGTTGAAAAGAAATCATCTTGATAAGATAGGTAGTCATTATTGAAAACGACAAAAACGATGACGTTTCAGAACGTCATGGAGCTGCAGATAACGATGAAATTTTGTGTTTCACTCAGGAAAAACACTGAATAAACTCTAAAAATGTTGGAGAAATCAAGAAAATATATCACAAATAAGAGTGTTGTGCATCTGTGTACATATAGTACAGGCAGTATTTGAGTGACAGAGACTTTGTATCGGATGAGGACAATCTGTGGAGCTACGTACGTACGGTTTAACTGTAAAACTTTTTTAATAAGTTGGAACGTTAAGGAAAGACATAGAAGTTTCAAGGTTGCGTATCCCATGAATGCAGAATTAAGTAATAAAAGAAATTTAAAATTTAACAAAGGAGATTATACAACGAATGCAGTTCTAAAAAATTAATGTCGAGTATTAGAAAAAGCATTCAATGAGTGGGCATGGGATTATACTGTGTGTATAATGTACAGGGATAGTATTTTTAAAGAATTTCTTGACGCTATGTTTCATGACGTTACATTGCCGTTTAGTGTGCTCTGACGTTAAAGCGTAACAGAGCAACGTCAATACTTGAGTATTCATCCTCTCAATTGTTAAATCGCCTTTTCTCTGCCACTTAAAGCAATATGAACTGCATGTATGACATGGAGAATTTTGTTAAATAAGAACTTTCATAAACTTCTGTTTTTATTATATATATTTGCGATGGAAGCTTTTTATAAGCTTCGATTGAAGCAAAATTACATTATTGTCCTCCTTTACAATACCGATTTGTTAAAATTTTAATAATAGTATACATTTGATTGTACAGAAATATTTCTTCTTAAACATTTCTAAATTTTATTTTGGTCCTATTTATCAAAAGGGTTTTATTTACAGTACATACAAATTAAACATAATAACACATATTGCCATCAAAATATTTTTTTTCAAAAATGAAGCTCATATTGATTTAAACTGAAAGAAACCAATTGCATATTTTTAGGTTTTGAGCTGGTCAACTTTATATTGTTGCTCCTCTCGCTGGTGCATGCCCGTTTCATTTCCACATTATTTCGGCCTAATGTACAACCAAGGTTTGTTAAGACTTTCTTGCAAACAATCACATATAAACACTCGACTGATCACTGTAAACTCCATCTTTTTGTCATTGAGCATCTGTGGGACCAAGTGGATGACAGGGTTCGAAATATACCCAATCTTGTCACTTTCAACTGTCTTGTTGAAAGAGTTGTATAATATCCCTATTTGAAGGATTAACAAAAAGACGAACTTCTTGCAAAGAAAAATCAAGGCTTGACAGATGCGCAAGGGACACATCTAGGATCATTAGAAATTTTGATTTTCAATTTTAGCGAATATCGTCAAATAAGGCAAAATCAAATGGAGTTTAGTTACACATTTCCATTTATGATGATATTGAACGTTGGATTAGAATACTGAAAAATACAAGATGAAAAATGAATTAATTACCCTAAAAAATTTACCCCGATTTAAAATTAAAATTAAAATTTAAAAATTTTTCTCCATCTGTTCCGTATACTTTAATCTGATTTCAATAATTAGTTATTGACACCACCAATGTTAATTATAAATCTATTAAAATGGAAATCACAATATTACCTGCAACTCCTCGTACACTACTGTATAACATAATACTGTCACAGATCTAGATTCTTTATTACATGTACATGTTTTTGAAAACCATTTTTATAATTTGAATTTAAAGCATAAAGAAGTAATCTGCATATTCATCACCCTTTCTTACAGGTATCGCATCTATTTGGATGTTCCTATCCTTACGGATATTATGAAGGACAATGTGTTTACTGTCCAGAAAACACTCTGTACGTGAATGGAACCTACATTCTCTATTATCCTCCTCCTGACGTGACATACTGTAAGGAAGTTTGTCCAATGAGTAAACCTTACATCTTTAAAAGGTCATGTGTTGAAAAATGTCCGTTAGGATTTTCTGAAAAAAGAATGTCGAATATTCAATATTGCATGAATGAGACGGATGGAATTGAAGGTTTATGTCCAGTCAACTACTGCAAAGAGCCGTTCTCATTTTGTTATCGTATGAGATGCTTGGCAACTTGCCCATCCTTTACCTTTAGATACTTCAATGACTGCACATTGGAGTGTCCCTCTGACAAACCCGTAATTTACAATCGAACATGTGTTGGAAATTGTCCAGATGATTCGTCAATTTTGCAATTTGGTGAATGTGTTAATAATTGCTCATATGGTTTTCTAAGATCGGGAGTATGTGTCAAAAAATGTCTACCTGGGGAATTTGTCAAAGACAATGAATGTGTGGTAAAATGTGATTATGACTATACTTTTGAGAATAATGATGTTACATATTGTCTTGATTCATGTCCAAAGCTTACAATATCTAAAAACGGATCATGTACAACCAGTTGTCCAAAGGAATTTCCTTTCTATCTGAACAATTCTTGTGTGAGATTATGCCCAAAATATAGTTTATATGTCTTACCAGTGACAACGCAATATAAGAAATTGCTTTTTCTCTGTGTTGAGTTCTGTCCTAAATATTTTACCCATTCAAATCGTTTGTGTACAAATTCATGCCTGCCAAACGAGGTTTTGTACAAAAATGAATGTCGGATAACCTGTCCTGAATCTGATCCTTATCCTATTTACCTAGATTCTTTAATTATGTATAATTTTCATTTCGATACCTCTTATATCACTCAAGGACCTATAATTGCTAAAGGTATTTGTGTCAAACAATGTGGTACCAATTTTGTTTTAGATGGAAATCAGTGTTTCGATGATTGTTACAACACAAGTAGAAAGATGGAGTTTAACCACACTTGTATCGAGATCTGTCCTCCCCAGGCTCCGTTTTTGTATTCAGTTGCCAACAAAAAAATGTACAAATGTATGGATAGGTGCCCTTACACTATAAATAAAAACATTTGCACGAAGTACTGTGACACAAAAGGCAAGTTTCATTTAAACAAAACGTGCTTTTCAGAGTGTCCAAATGAATACTATACAGGAAATCAAGTTTGGAATTGTGAGCTGCAGTGTGTTGAATATGAAGAACAACTTACATGTGTAGATGAATGTCGTTCCCCCTACTTATATAAAGATGGAAAAAGGTGTGTTGAATCGTGTGCAGAAGTTCAGAAGTTTCATCATCAAAATTCTTACACATGCGTCAACACTTGTCCTAATGTCTCATTTGACGATATTTGTGTAGACAGATGTGACGGAAGGTTTTTGCATAATAATTCATGCGTCAACTCATGTCCATCAGGAATGCTGACAAACGTTGAACTCGGTGATGTTAGGACCACATTTTGGAATTCAAGAGAATACTACAACTTAAAATATCGTTGCGAGACATCATGTCCTGATGGGAAATTTGTCGAGAATGATACATGTGTAACTTATTGTAGTGAAAGTAAAGCAAATATATATAACGATATTTGCGTCGAAAAGTGTCCTTCGAGTAGCCCATACCGAGTAAAGTATCATGTCAATAACACATTTAATACTTTGAATATCCTAGAAACAGGGCTACACGTATCACAGATAACTTTGGACATGAATACATTTAGCTTTAGATGTACTAATTCATGTACAGAAAATCATTTCGTACTGGATTGGATTTGTTTCGATACATGCCCAGAAGGATTTTTTGGATATGATAATAAGTGTGTCCAACAATGTCCATCCGAAGCTAGCTTGAAAGACATGGGAAAATGCGTATCATCTTGTTCAAAAATTCAAATAAATGACACGTGTGCCGAATTTTGCGAAAATGGACTGTTTTTGGACGAAAATGAGTGTGTAATGCAATGCTCTAAACATAAATTTGTTTACATGAGAACAAAGCAGAGTTTGATTTGTTTAGAAACGTGTCCAAACCAGATGGTCGCCAACACAACAGGTGAATGTATGGAGATGGATGAATGTAAGGACTTTATTTATAAAGGCAGATGTCAATCAACATGCCCATCTTTTTCCTTCATTGTGGACAAGGATCAATATAAATATTGTTCCTCCCTGGAAATATCATACATTCTCTTTTCATTGAGCGTGTTGATTTTGATTGCAGTTGTATTATTCGTTTCATGGATAATTGCTCGCCGATGTTCGGCATCAATGAAGGTAAGAAAGAATACTTTATTGTATTTTATATTTTGCAAATTTTTCCTAACTATTTTAGTACACAATTTATGTCGTATATGATTTTATGAAAGAACTATTTTTATTTCCTTAGCAAAAAAAGTTCCTGAGCAAAGAAAGCATATACGACAAAGGAGATAAACATTATATCACTAATGTCGACCTAGCCATACCAAAAAAGGTATCAAAACCAAATAGTGGAAGGGAGAATCTTGCTTTCTCCGGTTCCAGTACTAGAGAGGCCGAATTTGAGGAGACACGTTTGTGAAAAGAAAATTTGATTGCATATGTATGAAAAAAAAACCGAATACATGTATATCTTTATAAAGTGAAAAATCAAAGTGTTTTAAGGCAAAAGCAAGAAACATGTAACTTTTTATGGATAAGTAGGTTTTTCGAGTCGTGTATTTGTTTACATAGGTTAAACACGCTGATATGTGTTCCTCAAAGCAAATTTTTTCAATAAAGAAGTTAATTCTAAATACAATTAGACATTTTCTGATGATTTGCTGAATCTCGTTGTGTTATAAACATGATATTTTCTAAATGTGAACAAAATCAAGGCACGAACCTTGTTTACACTATGAAGAATTCTCAGTCCTGTATCTCCTTTGTAAATCAACATAATGTTCAATTTTTTGATGATCATTAGAATAGCCTTCGTTAGGAATTGTAAAAATTAAAATTGGTAAAAATAAAATTCATTTGAAACTGTGTCCTTGCCCCTTTAACCATAAAATTCAGATTTTGTGTGGAAGGTTTGATATTACTAAGCAACAACAGTTTCTCTCCATTTTTATGCGCCCGAATCGAAAGATCCGAGGCGTATATTGTTTTTGTCCTGTCTGTTTGTCAGCAAACTTTAACCTTTGCTATAACTTTTGAACGATGAATGGTTGAGACTTCATATTTGGTATGCATACTCCACTAATTAAGCTCTTTCAAGTAACACCAAGGTCAATGACCTTGTGACCTTGACTGTGACCAATGTGCTAAAAATAGTTTTTTTGCAAACTTTAACCTTCGCTATAACTTTTGAACCATAAAAGATAGAGATTTCATATTTGGTACGCATACTCCACTAATTAAGCTCTTTCAAATGACACCAAGGTCAATGACCTTGTGACCTTGACTGTGTCCTATATGCTAAAAATAGCTTTTACGAACATTCACTATAACTTATCAACAAGAAAAGATAGAGACTTCATATTTTGCATGCATACTCCACTAATTAAGTTCTTTCAAATGACACCAAGAGCAATGACCTTGTGACCTTGACTGTGACCTTTATGTTAAAAATATGTTTTTTAACTTTGTTGTCGCCGGGCGCATAGTATTTCACAAACACATCTTGTTTACTAAAGAATGACATAAAGTTATATAAGGTATTTACGGGGAAAAATCATTTACTGCAAGTCCCATCACTTACAATTTTGCTGAAGATTAATCAAAATGAGGAAATAAACTATAAATGAGGAAATGAACTTTTATCAGAAGTGCTGATGGACTCTTGGTTGATTTTCCTCGTGATTCTTATGTTTCTAATATTAGTAAGACAGGAAGGATTGGAATTTGACCTGCAAATCACGTGACTTATGAACTCTTTTCATTGCCATTTTTTTAACACTACCATTTACTCTTCTTTGACTGCAATACAACATGCCTTTTGAAAGTGGAAAGGGAGCTTATCCTACGCACCCAGCCCCCCCCCCCCCCCCCCCCCCCCCGTCCCGGCGTCTGTGCCTCACAATGTGCACACACGACATTTGATAAAGTCTTTTGACTATCATTCATTAATCATTTGTGATTCGATTGATTGATTGATTGCATATTGTTTAACGTCCCTCTCGAGAATTTTTCACTCATATGGAGACGTCACCGATGCCGGTGAAGGGCTTCAAATTTAGACCTATACTCGGCACTCAGGGCCATTGAGCAGTGAGGGTTCTTTATCGTGCCAACGCCTACCGTGACACGGGACCTACGTTTTTAAGGTCATATCCGAAAGACCCGTGACTTTCACTTCTAGTGCCGAGCGCTTGGCGAAGGAACAGTCACTACCTTTGTTTACGTCTTAGGTATGACGCGGCGCCGCGAACGAGAATCGAACCCGGGCCTCCCGATCACGAAGCGAAACTATTTCGTAATTTCGGAATAGGGTATTCAAAAAATATAATCTCAAATCTTTTTTTTATGCTAAGATCAAAATTAATATGGCTCAAAATTTTCAAAATAATACATCTTATTTTGCTAAGTCTACTTGTCCATCGTACTAATTTTCTTCTCTTTTTTATCCGACTTTCTTTTTTATTTATATGTACAATTTGGCCGAGATCGAGATCATTGTGCACAGTGAAGAGAAGGAACTGCTTCAATGTAGCCAAGAAAAAAATCACGCATTAAAAGAAAAATTACAGTGATGAAATACATGTACCAAAGTTTTTCAGACCTTGCTTTGTTTACTATAAACTCGATCATGTAGCTTTCATAAAAAGAAGTTAATATGCAAATAAAATAGTTTAAGAAAGGAAGATACATCGTAACCTAGCTTTTACTTTTCTCCCCCTTCATCGACAAGTGTTAATATACTGCGTTTAATCGCAACACTGTCGGAAATTGTACATAATCAATTCTCAAGCTCCTTGAAACCCTGGATACGCATAGGCGTCAGAATCGGGGGGGGGGGGGGGGCTTAAGCCCCCCTCCCCCCATTTCTTGCAAAGATAGACATTAGACACAATATATGCATTTAAAAGTGGGGTTTACTTTTTTTGTTGGTTTACCCCCCCCCTTTCAATTAACGCCCCCCCCCTTTTTGCCTGCGCCGCCCATGATACGGCTATCGACCTACAATTTAGGGAGTGTATTTAAACCGCCCCAGAATTACCAGCTATCAAATTTTTTTCTGGAGAACTATTACCATCAATACGTTATAATTAATGGCATAGAAGATGATAAAATAAGAAAAAGAGGATTGAAGTTTTCAGTAAATCCCCCATACACATATTGTTTTGCAATATGGTGAAATCTTTCCCAGTTAATGTACAATTACATGTTTTTACAATTAATTTACAAGTTTGAGATAAAGAGGTTTAACTGTATATTATAATTATATATTTTTGGGGATATGTCGTGTAAAATTCATGTAAATATTAATGTTAATTTTAGAATGAAGAATGAATACCCTAAGAGAGAGACAGAGAGAGAGAGATTTTCGAATAATTTTCTACACATTGAAATAATTCAAATCATGCTTGTTTTTCTAATTTTATTTTTAAACTTTTACCCCCTCCCCTTCTCCCCCCAAAACATGATGCATAAGGCGTCTACAGCAACTGATATGTTTTTTATTAAAAATATCACACTACATATCATTTTTTAGTGAATGAGGTTAAAAATCAAACATGAAACGATGGAAATGTAACCAGATTGTTTAGACATCGGGATCGAGATGCCTTTCATATCTCGATACGGATACGGATACGTATACGGATACGGATACGTCAGATAGAACAATCTCTATTAACATAGAGTCATTTATCAGGTAAGTTATTATTAACTTGAAATATTAGTGTATATACGTACATATATCCATGTACACAAATATGAAATTTTCTGCATTATATTTCTTAAAAAATCATTTTAAGGATAACTGCAATATGACAATATAATCAAAACATTACAGCACTCTGAATAAAAATATCTTTTACGATGTCACCGTTGGGGCGAGTGCAGTCCTGTACACCTCTTACGGTTGAATCGTTGATCTGCCTCATCAAACGTCGAACCGCATGAGACAAATTCTAGACTGTGACCTCACATGACATCGACATTTACGGAAACAGTCTAGCGTCTAGTTAAACGAAACTACAGGTCTTGTGCAAAATTTAATGAAATACGTTGTAGAGAAGATAAAAATAATTTTGTTACTTTTAAGGTTGGTGCAATTACAGTAAAGTAAACGTTTCTTGGTAAAGAACAATAATTCCCGGTCTTTTGTATGTTTTGAAATAAATTCACATTGAACCATGGGAGCGAAAGAATTCTGGGAATGTTGCACATGAAATTTGCCTGACGTATGCGGAGGTATGCTCAGATTTCATTCCGAAATTCCTCTGTTCTTACAAGTTAGTCTATTGAGCTCGCTGCGCTTGCTATTATATATAATATTAATAACAGATCAGCATTACTGTTTAGTAAGCATGCTTAATGATACGCTTCTCAAACTAATAATTTAATCATGTATAATAATAAATATTTTAAAAGATTAAAGGACATCGATTTACTATCATTTTTTTGTACAGAATGGACCATCTCCCTCGTGTATCAAAGATCCTATATGCCGGCCTGTGTCAAAGGATAGGGTCGCCATCAGAAGTGGCCATTAGAAGGGACGTGTAGGACATGGTAGAGATGGTGATGAAACCATATTATAGGCAGATGGGTATGTACAGATGAAAAGTGGAAGTTATGGCGAGTTTTGTGATGATAAACTAATAGTTGACATCTCTCAAGCTCAGTTTTACAATAAATCAAAACATGATATTATACTCATGGAAGATTCTGACACGCTGCCAGAATTTGTCAGATTACGCCTTTTGCACCATTCGGTATCCTCAGATAATTTCACAGGACAATGTCTTATACCCTTTAATGACGGTCTCTATGTTTCTAGTTTTTTGTGGAGAGAAAGAAATTATCATCATTTTTCAAATGGCATGTACAAATTTTTCCGATATGAAAATGTCTCCACCCACGGTCCTTGTGCAAGCGGTTTCCTTGGTCCTATTGAATTTGATTATGTTTACTGTTTTGCCACTACAAGTTGACCTATATCGTCAAGAAGCTGGATTGCCAGATGTCAAGGATACACCTGGCCGCCTGTATCTGTGTTGGAAAAAATTCTAAGAAATGGTTGTCATTGTATGCCTACTGGAAGTAAAATTGAATCGACTTCTAACGAATTAGAATGGAGGATATCCTTTTCTCAAGCTGAACAACAATTGGTGTATACAATGAATCATACACAATTTCTATGTTACGCACTTCTTAAAATATTTTTGAAGGAAGTTATCAACCACAGGAGGGAACCATTACTGTGTTCATATTTTATAAAGACCACCATGTTCTGGAAAATGCTGTTGGGATACATTAGATGGTGTCCGAACAATTTACTTGATTGCTTCTGGAAGTGTTTGAAATATCTTATTCATCGTGTATATCAAGGAGTGTTTCCGAATTTTTTTATTACATTGAATAACATGTTCA